GAGAGAGCAAGAGAGAGCTGCGTGTGTGCCGGCCTTCTGATTTCTCTTTTATTTTATTTTTCCCTTTACATGTACGGCCCCCACGATACAGAGGGGCTGTGTGTGCCCCCTCCACCATTGCTTCTCCCCCCCTTTTCAATCTTCCCTTAGAAATAGTAGTAATAATAATAATAATATTAAATAATACTAATAATAATCGAGCCGCTTGTCCTCGCAGCGTGTGTGGATCCCCGGTGCTGCAGCACCCGGGCAGGGAAATGGGGGCAGGATCGGGGGCGCTCCCAGCCAGGAACGGCACCTCCATCCTCGGCTGCTTCCCACGCGTGTCACGGCCGCGCCAGGGGCTGGAGCCGCGGGACTGGGAGCTGGGGTTGGTACCGGGGCAAGCACGGGGCGATCTCCCCGCTGTCCCCCCTCCCTGCCCCGCATCCCGGCGGGATGCTCTCGGCGGCACCTCCAGCCTCCTGCCAGCAAAACGGATCGGCTTTGGCGAGGTGTGTGAAAAAGCCCCTGCAGAGCCGATCCCAGCGGCGATAAGTGACAACAAGGCACTTTATTAGTATTTTATATAAACTCCCGGGTGCTGGGAGATAAGCGCCCAAATTAGGAGGCGGGGGGCGGGGAGGAGCGCCTGGTTAAACGGGGATCCGCCGGGCTGAGGCTTGAAGGGCGAGGAGGAACCGTGAGTGCGCTGTCCCTGTCTCTGTCCCCGCGGTGGCACTCGGGGCATCACCCCCTCCGCCCCCCTCCAGCAGCGCCCATCCTCAGCCCCCCCCGGGGCTGCCCTCGGGAGCAGGGAGGGAGCCGGAGAGAGGAAGAGAACTGTTTAATAGATCCTCCGAGGATTCCCCTAGAGCATTATTTAAACTTCTAATTATGATTCATGTGTGTGATAATATTAATTTAATAATCAAGGAGCTGTGCAGGAAGCATTAACCTCAATTAAGCTCATTACTACTCTAACCTGGAATCCCCAGGGCTTTTAAATCTTCTACTATGAGGACCTGACACCGCATTGATAGAGGGCGAGATCTGCTTCAGAATCTTTTTTTCTCCCTAAATCATTTGCCTTCGTGGGTAGAGTTAATTAATTCCCTGATTTTAGTTCGGGGGGGGGGGGGGGGGGGGGGGGGGGTCCCCCCTTTCCCGGGGGGGGGGGGGGGGGGGGTGTGGATGGATCCCCACTTTCCCGAGGAGAGAGGGGAATCCCGAGGTGACCGCTGGTCCTCGGTTCTGCCCTGCACGAGGAGACACCCGGGGGGCACAAAATCAGGATGAGACCAAGAGCCACGAGTGAGGCTCAGGGGCTGATCCTGCGCTTGCCTGAAGCAAAGGCAGTAGTATATACTAATAGTGGTAATAGTAATAATAATAATACGAGAATAACCCGTTCAAAGCAAGATCAATCTTGGATCTCGATTGCAATTGGAAATAATATGGGCAAGTCCAGAAGCCCAAGGGAGGTCCTGATCCCCCAGCCGGGCAGACTCGGGACCCCGCTGCGCTGGGGCTGCGGGCAGCGCCGAGCGCGGAGGGACGCGGAGCCTCCGCGCCTGCTGCAGCCACCAGAGTGACCTTCTCGGCGCACTGAGGGCTGCTAAATTGTTTTACCGAGGCGATAAATGCTCTTAATTACCCGAAGCTCCAGACCCCAAGGGACGGGGAGAGGGATGGCTGGAGAACAGTCAAAAAGAAAAAAAAAATAAAAAAAATAAAGGTTGTTCGTTGATCTGGATGTCGCTGAAATATAATTTGAAAATAGGTATTAAGTAATAAAGTTAAAAGCACCCCGGAACGCGCGGAGTGCCCGGCCTGGCTCCCTCGTGGTGTGAAGGGTGACCGGGCACCAAGGGCAGCAGGGACAGAGCCCTCGGGGGTCTCACCTGCCCTGCCCTGCCCTGCCCTGCCCGAGCCAAGGCACCGGGTCCCGTCCTCAAACGCGACACCCCGGGAGCACACGGGGCTCGGGGCTGGCGGCTCCCGGGAGAGGCTCTGGCCACCGGTGCCTTCAGGCTCTGGAAATATCACCGCTCCGCAGGTATAATTCAGCCTAACTACAGAGATAACCATCGCTGCGGCGGGGAGGCTCGTAAAGACGCGAGGGTGTTCCGTGTGATTCCCTATTTATTTCGGAGAAGGAAAGGTTTCCGTGGGAGCTTTCCTCAGCAGGGCAAGGGTTCTGGGCCCAAAATAGGCGGACCTGGCTCTGCTCGGAGCCGATGCCGCCTGTCTGGGGGGGCCCTGGCAGCCCCTCACCCCCAGCACCCTCTGAGCTGCTCCCGCAGGACAGCGGCGCTCGGACGGGTGACTCGGGAGAAGCTGTTCCTGGACCATCCTGCAAGGAAAATGGAAAGAGAGGAAGATGGGACCGGTCACCCGGCCCGACCACTGGCGAGATATTACATGTCACAACTCATCTAGGGCCCCATAATCAGCGCTAACTTTCTGGTGAACAGATAACCAGAGATGGCAGATGGATGGAGATTGCACAAATGAGGCTCTAATTGACAATCAATTGTGATTAGGAGCAATAGAACATCTTTATAACACTGGCTTTAAACCGCCGGCAAACAAAGCGCCGTGCGGGCCGGGGTCCCGGCGGGCCGGGCCGGCAGTACCTGCCCAGCATCGCTGCTCCCGGAGGAGGGGCTCTGTCTGCCGGTGCCCGGTGGTTTCTGGGAGCCATCGGGGCGAACAGGAGGGTCCTCTCTCCGGGGGTGCTCCCCAGGGATGGGGGTCCTTCTGCTCCCAGCACCCAGCGCTGACCCGTGGATTTGTGCTGATGTCGCCGCTCTGGGTTCCCCACGCCTGGGAGCGGTCCCTGCCCGGGCACAGGAGTCAATTGCAATTTGGATTTTATTTTTTTTTTTTTTCCCTAAGAGGAATATAAAAAATATTCCTACCACCGCTGCCCCCAAATAACCCCATTCTCTCCCCACCCCTCCCCCCCCAAAAAAAAAAAGTACAAATAGTATAGATACAGTCGAGTACGACAGCGAATCTGATTCAGCCGAGTCACTGGCATCTGCCTAAACCACCGTGTATTTTTCATAAATAATATCCCAGCGCTGCGGGCAGGAGTGATGTGAGAAAAATTTTTCCAAATGAAAAGATGGGACCAGGAGCACGGCTGGAGGAGGAGGAAGGAAGGAAAGAGGAGCTGTTAACAAACAAACAAACAAACAAACCCCAGGGTGTGGGCTCGTGTGAGTGTGTGCACACGCAGATTAAAACTTCGCTCTCTCTGAGTGTTCGTGGCAGCCCCGTCGGTGAGGTCAGGACAAGGGGGAGAGGTAATTACCTACACATGATCGGAGATTATACATACCATTTCAACCCAGGAGGTGATTTATAATTTAAAGATAAAGCATAATAAAGTCATAAAAGAGAAAGGACACTGTTGTGGTGCCTGATTAAAATCTAAGGGCTGGTGTATAATATATGAGCGGGGGCTGTTGTGGGCTCCGGCTCAGCGGGACTCCCCTGGGCCCAGCCCGCTGATGGACTAATCATGTCCAAGACCTACCAAAATTACAAGCTGATTGTTTTACCCATTATTTCTCCCAACTTTTAATTTCTGCTTTCTAAAGGATCATTGCCCGCGGTAATTGCAAAGGACCTGTCCTTGTATGTGTCACCAGCCTCAAAGACAAAAAAAAATCTAATTTTCCTTTTATGCTTTTCAAAGTTCAGTTTGCCTTGCCCCTTCCCCCCTTTTTTTTTTTTTTTTCCCTGGCAGCTAATTCAAACTGAGTAGCGACTGGAGCGTCCAAAACAAGAATGAAATTGATATGATCAAAGAACACACAACTATACACGAAAGGGAAGGAAATTAGGTAGGGGGTGGGAAAACATGCTATATAATTCACTGACAATTTTATTCCTATGTCTTAATTTTCTACAATTAAAACCGTTTATAATAAGAAAGTACTTTTCGAAAGTGGAACTTAGGTCTGATTATACCTTTACTCCTTGCATGGGAAGGAATAGACCTTTTCTCCCAGCTACTCAGGATTTATTTATCGTCGTGTTTTGTCTTGTGCCGTTTAAACGTATTAATTTTCTTCTGGCACTTTCCTGGCACTTACGTTTGAGATTTAATTTTAATTAATTAGCTAAGGAGGAGAAAGAAGCGTGTGAGGGTGTGTGTGTCCGCGGACACAAGCTTCGCTCCAACTGCTAAACCTCCTTCCATAATTTTTTCCTTTTGTTCTAATTTAATAAACCCAGCAGGGAAGGGAAACAGGTGCTGGGGGCTGACACCTCTGAGCCCACACACACACACACACACACACACACAATCCCCTTTTGATCATCTAACTCCACTATTAGGGATGGAAGACCTTAACTTCCCATTTTCCCTTTATAATATCTTCTTTATATTGATCCCGCAATTATTTAAAAGAAAGCGTCATCTCCTCCCACTTCTCCAAATAAGGCTATTTAGATGCTTTCCAGATGAGTGGAGGTGTGCTGAAACAGAGCTGACAGCCAAGTATATCACAGCCAACACCATCCTTCATTCGCTCTCTCCCTCTCTGCCCCCCTCCCCCCGGCACACACTTTCAACGCGTCTCTCTTCCAGTGATGAAGATTACAGACTATTATGGGCAAGGGATTAATTTGTAGCCAATTACAATCCAGTGCTAAATATGAATGCATAAATAAGATACAGCCTTGCCTCTGTGTGTGTGAGCGAGAGAGAAGGGAGGGGGGGCAGGAGCGCCTGGGCAGCCTGGCGAGGATGATGAGAAGGAAGAAGGAGCAGCTGAGTGGAGGCTCTGAGCCGAGCATCACCTTGTGACTCCCTGCCTTCCCCCGGAGGCTCCCGGCGGCCGGACCCAGCGCAGCCCCGGGGAGCTGAAGGCAGCGACTCGTCCTGAGCCGGAGCGGAGCCGGGGAGGAGTTTCCAGATCAACTTCGCCGGAGGAAGGAGGGGGAGAGCAAGAGGGGAGGGCAGGGGGGACAAGTTGCAACCGAGAGGGGTTCTGCAAAGAGTCATGAATGTGAGCAGAGACAAGGTCGGTGACATCTCCATCCCGGCAGCGGCAGCGGCGGCGGTGACAGCCCCCGCGGCCGGCATCGGCGGGGAGCCCCGCGGCTGCCACGGGGAAGGCATGGACGGCCGCGGGGAGCAGCGGCTCTCGGCCGGCGGCGAGCTGCCGCTCTACTGCCCTGCCAACCGGGACAGGCAAGGGGACAGCCAGAGCAACACCCCCGGACAAGAGGGGGCAGTGGCCGCGCTGCCCGTGGTGCACAGAACCACCTCCTTCTCCGTGCTCGACATCCTGGACCCTAACAAGTTCAACAGCAAGCGGCGGCAGTGCGCGGGCTTGTACAAATCGGCGGGGACCGAGTTCACGCTGGGGGCGGAGGATAAGCCCGAGGACTCAGGGACGGAACTGGCCGAGCAAAAGGCTCTCGCCGAAGATTTCGACGCGTGTAAGAAGTCCGCAGAGCTGATCAGTAAGTAGGTCTGAGGGCTCGGAGCCCCTCCGAGCCGGGGGCTGCCCCGCGTTCCCCCAGCAGGGTCTCGCATGCTTTGACACCTCATCCTTCCCCCGCTGGCACCGGGGCGCTGCCGGCAGCCGGCTCCGGGGAGGGAAAAACGCGCCCTGCGCTGCTGAGCTGGATGTAGAGAGGGGGGATTCTGAGTCAGGATGCAAGGGGGGAGCCGGGAGCATCCTCCCGGGACAGGCCGGAGGTGGCGGCGGGGCTCGGCGCTGGCCGGGCTCCGCTCCCCGCGTCGCCGAGGAGGAGCTCCGGAGCTGCTCGTGCACCCCCGGGAGGGGCAGGATCGACCCCAGGGATACCGGCCTGGCTGGGCTGTGCAGGAACCCCGCCATCCTCATTCTCCTCCTCCTCCTCCTCCTCGCAGGGACGGCCAAGAGCTGCCTGTGAGCTCCGGCTCAGGCAAACAACTTGGAAGCGGCTCCTCCGGCTTCGGAGGGCTGGAGTCCCGGCCCCGAGGGTGCGACAAGCCTCCCTTGGTACCCCCACCTCGCCTGGGCCCCCCCAGGCGTTTATGACTTTGTGTCTCCTCTCTCCAGCCTCGGACCCTCTCCCGTCCTCCCCCCGCAGCTGCCGCCCGTTGCTCTGGGCGACAGATTCAATTTTCTCTCTCCCCTTGGCTTTTTTAGGACAAATCAGACTAATTGTGACAAAATGCTGGTTATCTCTGGAAAAACAATTAAATTCCTTCGATTACATTTAAGGTAAAATGTGCTTAGCAGCGTAAAGAGGCTGGATAATGGGGAAAATCGCCCCAGAGTGGCATGTAGGACTGCTTGGATCGATATCCTATTATCGAATTGTGCATATCTCTTTCAAGCACCTTGCAAACTCTTCCCTAACATCTAAATTATAGGGTCAAAATTCGGATAATTACTCGATTAAAACCTATTACACTTATTAGGGCTCGCTATTGATCGGGAATTGCATTCGACCCAAGCTCTAGATTGCTTTTTCTTTCTGGGTCCGAATATCCCAACTTTCTCACCTCTAAACACCGCGACTCTGGGGATCACGGAGGGTTTCCGGGAAAACGCTGTCGTTGTGGAAAATATCCATAGTTTTTCCGTGTCCAGAGAGGGGAAAGAAGAGGCCGCGAGCTACAGGGGATAGACTTCTCGGCTTAGGAAAAATAGTTTCTCTGTGTCTGGGGCGAGAGAGGACTGGGAGGTTTCCGACCTCGCCATAGCGGGACTCTGTCAAGTAAAATTAGGCAGTGAAAGAGGTCTGGAATCTGCTTCAGTCCGAGCCATGACGCATTTTTCGTCTGTAAAACAAAAGTAGGAATGGGGCACTAATAGAATTCAAAAGAGATTTTTAAAGGCAGTGCGGAGCTGGAGTAATTATTCCTCTAAACTCATCCGACTTTCGTCATATTAAATAGATATGGGCGATCAGAAAGACTGACGAGGTTAACCTGTCAGTTAATCTCACACTTTTATCTCCAGACAAGGAGAGAAATGCAACCCCTTCTCTTCTCTCAAAATAAATATGTTGGAGGCATCACGGCGCGGTGCGCTTCGCCCGCTGACAAGTTCCCCAGACACTCCACACATGGACTCCTTCGATCACGTCGCCTAAATGTTATGGCAGTGGCCAGAAATAGATCTGGGACAACTTGAAAATCACGAAATTTAATTCTTCTCTTTCCCCATCGTAATTAATATTGGTTCAAGTGGTGGCTTAATCTAGGAGAAGTGTTCTGAAAAGTAGCTCTGTCCAGAAAAGTACCAACCCCTCCGAAGAATGCAAAGACTTTCGGGCCAAATGAGAGTGAAAACAGCGCTCGTCAATTGCCGATCGTAAAACTATTTTAATGTTAAAAATAACAGCTTAAACTGCCCATTAAATTACCATTTAACCTATTCCCTAAAAACAAAACAAAAACAAAAAACAAAAAATTAAAATAACAAGCCCGGCGTCCATCTCCGTCGCCAATTCTACTCGAGGCTGCCCCGCAGGCGCAGCCACAAGCACTTTTTATAAATCGTTGCTGTAAAAAATTACGCCCCGCAATTTCTAGCGGGTCCTACAGGTTGCAGGACGCTTGTCTGCACTCACTGGGTCGGGGCTGGGAGAAAAGTGACTCAGTTCTCATCTGTTCGGTGGAGATCGCCCGCATTTTCCATGCTCTGACCTGAACACCCGGGCACCCCGGGGATGCTCGCCCTGCTGCCCCCCCCCAAAGGCCTTTCCAGCCGTCGGTGTTTGGTGGGTGCGCTGGTGGCCGTGGGAAGGGGGAACATCCCCTATCCCGGCCAGGTCTGGCACCGGCTCTTGCCGAAGGTGGGTGGCTCGGAAGGGGCAGTGCTGGCACAGCCTCCCCGGGCTGGACAGCCCCTTTCCGGCCGCAGAGCCGCAGTTCCGAGCCCCATCCTCGCCGCTGCTGACAGCTCCTGGCACTGTCCCCCAGCCCAGCCCCGGCTCAGGGCGGCCGCAGCAGCTCCGCACCCGAGGGGCCCGGCCCGGCCGCATCCCCACGGAGGGCGGAGGGGCCGAGGGGGCCGGGAGGGGCAGCCCCGATACCCGGGCAGCCCTGTCCTAAGAGCAGCGGGGACACCGGGTGGGGGAACCCCCAGGGCGCCCCGGGGCCGCACCGGCGGGGCTGGGGGCGGGCGGGGCGGGGGCCGGGCCGGGCGACGAGGAGCCCTAACAGCGGCTGTCGCTTGTCCGCAGAGGACGGGGAGCTCTACAAGGCCGAGGAGTGCGACCTGGACTACAGCAGCCGGCCGAGCCGCAGCCCCGACAGCGAGCTGCAGGACGACGAGGAGCTGTGCAGCGAGGAGAGCGGCAGCACCAGCGGCAGCAGCGGCAGCTCCGGCCCCGCGGCGCCCGGAGAGGCCGAGCGGCGGCGGCGGCGGCGGGGCGGGGGCCGGGCTGGGCGGCGGGGCGCTGCCGGGGGGGCTCAGCCCCCTCAGCCACTCGCCGCCCATGGGCACCCCGCTCTCCATGCACGGCCCCGGCAGCTACGCCGGGCACCCGGCCGGAGGGCTGGTCTGCGCCGCCCAGCTGCCCTTCCTGCCCAGCCCCGCCGTCCTCTCGCCCTTCGTCCTGGGCTCCCAGACTTACGGCGCTCCGGCTTTCTACACCCCGCACCTATAAGCCCGACGCTCCTTCCTCCTTCTCCTCCTCGCTGCCGGCTCCTTCCCGCTGTGCCCGCCGCCCCTCCGAGGATCACCCGGCCGGGCCCTCCGGGCCGCTCACCGCACGAACCCCGCACCCGAGAGGGGAAACCGAGAACCGAGCGGCAGCGACCCCGGGGAAAGGGGCAGCCCCGCGTTCCTGCCACCACCCCGGGGGCTGAAAGGAGCGGCCAGAGGCTCCCCCGCCCTCGGGCCTTTCTACGACCCTTTTTGTACGCGATGTGTCCGGACTGCGCTGCTGAGGGAAGGAGGAGGAGAAACCTCCCTCCCCCGTGTACATACAAGTAGATGTAAATCATCGTTACCTGTATTTTTATTTTCACCGTCCCTCGTTGCTATGTGGGTTTAATTAATTTAATAATTATTATTAATATTATTTGCCTTTTTATTATTATCTGGTCTGGCCACTAGCGAAAGACTTTAAAAGAAAAAAAAAAAAAAGATTATGTACCCATTTGACTCTCAGGGTAAAACGGAGAACTATCGGTCCTGTCCCTGGACATTGCAGAAGCGAAGAGGCGCCGCTCCCTGCCGTGACCTCAGGGTGACGAGGGATATTTTTTACAAACGTCACTGTCCATCGACCCCCGAGCCGGGCCGGGGGTCCCGCCCGGGAAGGGGCGGCGAGGGCGGCTCCTGGGGCGCAGGGCTGGTTTTTTACGTTAAACATTTCTGTATATTTCTGGTTGTTACAAAATAATAATAATAATAAAATAAAAAAAAAGTTTTAACTTTATAATTAATGTATAAGACGAGGGAGTAAGAGCAAGAGGTGATAAAGAGAGCACTTTGTTTGCTAAACACTTTAAATCAATCAATAAACTCTAAAGAAACGGCGCTTTCCGTGGTGGCGAGTCCCTGCTTTTCGGGTGAATCTTTGAAAGACAAGTTTCCTCTGGAAAACGCCTGCCTCGTGAGACGCTCGGATGGATGTCTTGCATCATCCTTTTTCTTTTCGTTTACTCTGAGAGCGTATTTCTTATACGCAAATAAACTTTATTCTTCTTGTACGAGGGAGGGTATTTCCCTTCTTAGTTTCCTTGTTTGCATTTTCTTAATTGGCTTTGCGGATTTGCGCAATATTACGGACAAAACAAATATCATATATAGAGGGAATCCGACATCTCTGCCACGTTTCCCCCGATGGGAAGTCCGATATTTTGGATTTATGTAAATTTAATAAATCGGCTCTTTCATTCAGATTCCACAACTTTAAAAATAAAATAATCTTTTCATCGCCGTTCCTCTGATTACTTTTAAATTCGTATCAAAGTTGGTCTTTTATAATACTTTTTTTTTTTTTTTACTTTCAAATAATAAGTGTATAACCGTCGTGAGCACCCCGAGGTGGCTCCGCAGGGACGCTGGTACCGCGTTTCCCCATTCCCTGAGTGCCTCCAAAGCTCACGCCGAGGAAGAGCTTTAATTTTCCACTAATTTTAGGTGTGGGGGATTTTTTGTTTTCTTTTGGATTGTTTGGGGTTTTGTTGGTTTGGTTTTTTTTTGGTTTTTTTTTTTTTTTTTTTTTTTT